ACCTCTTGCATACACCCCAACCAGGACTGGCCCGCAACCCAGGCATGTGCCCTGCCCTGACCAGGAATCAAACTGGTGACTTTTCAGTTTGCAGGATGACAGTCAACCAACTGAGCCACGCCTGTCAGAGCTATACGTTGAAACTTTGAATCAACTTCCAGGCTGATAAGAGTTATTTCTGCTCTTACCTGGAGCGAAGAGCAACCACCACCTCCTGCTTATGCATGAACTTTCTGGACTACTGCCCACAACCAATCCAGAAGCATCAAACCCTTCTTCCTTATAGACTGTACACCTATCCCAGAACTGTCCCCACCTCAGCTCTCCCACCCCACTTATCTACGGCCAATGTAAATTCTTTCAAAACAACTTAGATCTTTCACCTCCAAACTCACTGTATAATGAAGCCTAGTCAGTCCGAAGACTGCGGACACGTTGTCTTCCCTGCCTGGCCCTGCTGCTGGCGGTTCAGGCTGCACATCCCAGGACCTGGTCATTTCCCTGCCAGCACGTGGGTCAACAAACCCTTTCAGAAGAGCTTTCAGCCCTGCCCTGGCCGGGTGGTTCGGCTGGTTGGAGCACCCTCCTGTGCACCATAGGATTGTGGGTTCGATCCCTGGCTGGAGCACATACCTAGGTTTTGGGTTCAATCACTGGTTGGGGTGTGTGCAGGAGGCAACTGATCAGTGTTTCTCTCTCTTTCCCTCCCTTCCTTTCTCTCTAAAATCAATTTAAAAAATATCCTCGGGTGAAGATTTGGAAAAAGAAGAAGAAAGCTTTCATCCTTGAAGGTTTTTGGTTCACACTGGGCATTTTCTCTAGGGGAGAAGATCACAGAATCTACCTGGGTGCCAACCTCCACTCACTAATTCAGTGAAATAGGGCAGGTGGCGTAAAGCAGGGCGCTCAGGCAGGTGTCTTCCGTGTTCTCCCCTGTACAGTGTGATGAAGTCAGCACTTACTTCATGGACATTGTTGTGGATCTTAACTGGGTTAAGACACATGAAGTCCTTAGAATAGGACCAGGCATACAATAATTGTCGCAAGTCGTCACTATTATTTGCATTTCTCTTTGGCACTAAACCCTACTCCCATTCATAGCAACCAGGGCCCCAAGCTGGAGTCTCAGCTGGGAAGCCTCCCACTCCCCAGGCCTGAGTTTGTCAGGAGGTGGCTCCACCCAGGGCTTAACACAGGGAGTGCAGAGTGCCCAGTGGGGCGCTAGTACCTCACTGAGCTCGGTCGGTGTTAGTTCTGCCCCCCTCAAGCTTAGCTACCCCCGTCTGTCCCAGTAATGTTTGAAAAGTATTTTCTTGAGCTCCTTGGAGCTGAACTCAAGTGCCTTGGCCTCCTGGAGCCCCAGTCTAGTGCGGGAGTGAGCAAGTAAATATTTTCAAATGTAGTGATGAGTGCTGATATGGAGATCTGCCCCGAGATCAACCCTGCTCCCAAGACCGTGCCCCTCAGCTCCCACATGAGAGCCTCGGGGCGGAAACCCACTCCCTTCCACCAAACAGACCCTTAGGAAAGGTATCCACACTTTGAAGTTGGGGTAGGGGAGGAGCCCAGGTGAGAGACTGCTTTCGCCCCTGCGAAACAGACTCCGTGGGGAAGGAATAGCCAGAGTCCCACCAGACTCTGTAAAGACTGGCCGGGGCCATCTCAGTTCACAGGGTGAGGGCCGGTGCAAAGCCCCTTTGACGTCTTTCCAGTACAATGGAGGGCACTTGTAAGCAGATCGGCTGTGTTGGCAGATATTTGAGTAACAGAAACACCTAATAAATTAAGCAATTATTTATTGAGCGCTATGTGCTCTGGGAGAGGGGCCGGACCGAGGTCTCCCGCCGGCTGCAAGCCGCGGAGCGGAAGGCAGGTGGCACCAAAGGCCCGTTCATCGACGCCGTCCGCAGGGCTGTAGACACCGTCTCGGAGCTCCCTCCTGAGAATCCGCAATCTAGACGCACAGAGGCCGTGAGTGGGGAAGGAGACGGGGCGCCTGGGCTGGGTTTCAGGGGCATCTTGTTCCGGGAAGAGGGGTTGGACCCACTAGTCTGAGTGTACCCAGAGGGTGCTGAGAGACGTCGACAGTGCCACGCTCGGAGAGGGAGGAGCTTGAGTTCCGAGAAGGTGGGACCTAAAGGTAAGCGGGGCCATTCACAGAAGCGGGAGGAGGAGCCTGGGAGGAGAGGTTGGGTAACATTCTCTGAGTGGCCGGTACTTGTGCACGACGCCCCTACCGAGGGGCGCTCTGAGTGGGCGGGATTTAAGTGACCATCAGGGTCTTCTTTCGGGACATTCTTTTTTTGGTTTTTTTAAAATTATTTATTTCTAAAGAGAGGAGAAAAGAGTGAGAAAGAGAAGGAGAGAAACATCTCACCGGCTGCCTCTTCACACGGCCCCAATCCGGGACGGCCGCAACCCAGGCATGTGCCCTGACCGGGAATCCAATCGGGGACCCAGTTCGCAGGCCGGTGCCCAATCCTCTGAGCCACACCAGCCAGGGCTTGTTTCAGGGCATTCTTATTGGTCGGCCCGGGGCCTCTGTGTAGGTGGGCCATTGTCTTAGTGTGAAGGGAAAGTGTTAGCCTTACGTGGGTGGAGATCTTTCCCTTATGAGGTGGACGTGGAGCTGTGCCCCTACAGTTTGTGTCGCCTGGTAAAGGGGTGGGGCTTTGTCGTTGGGGGAGGAGCCTGCAGAGGCGCTTTAGGGGAACGCGTAGACTCCTGGAGGGCGGAGCTTGCATCTCTCACAGAGTTAATGTCTCTGTGGGATTCCCCGCACTTGCGGACCTAGTCCTGGGCTCTGGGAAGGGATGGAGCTTTAGTTCTGTCATGCGGAGATGCGTGAGGAGCATATGTAATCCCTGGACAGAGTTCACACCGCCTGGACGCGAGAAATAATAACTCCGCTAGTGCGTGAGCAAACCGCGCCGAGCAGGCGGGGCTTATGGTCCGGGTGGGCACGGACCATTGGTACTGCCTCGGCCTGGGTGGAGCTAACAGAGAGGCGAGGCAATAGTTCTGAGAACCTTTGAGGTGGCAGGGGGCGAGGCTTGTGGCTTTGAAGGGCGAGGCCCTTGGAGAGCTCCTGAGGGATCGCTTGACAGCAGTGAGTGGGCGTCGTTCGTAGCTCTCAGGAACCCGGCAGATAGTGCGGCTCCGAGTGCAGGCCTGGGTCGCGCCTGGACGAGGCGGGGCCTGAGAGTCAGTGGGCGGAGCCTGAGACACAGCTCTGGGACTGGGCGGAGTCCCGGCTCTGCGCGGGCGAGGGCGCTGCCGTAGGAGGCCGTGTGTTCGGGCCCGCACGCAGCTCTGCATCTGGTGCTCATTACAGGATGACAAAGAGCCGGCTCTGGGCCCCCTTCCCCACTCCCATCTCCTCCCTCCGGCGGCAGAGCATTTAACTCCTTCCTGCCCTCGAAGCGCTCTGGATCCCCGGCCCAGGGTCACAGGACGGATCTCCAGCCCTTCCCGTTCCGGCAGACTTTGTCATCCTCCACGCTGTGCCCCCACCTCCTTCCCAGACCCAGGCCTTTGGGCCACTCCGCCAACCCCACTCACATGCAGTAAACCTCTTCGGCGGCGTCTCCGAGGTTAAAAGCTTGGGCAGAATCTGGTGGGGCGTCTGGTTTGAGTTAGGGAAACGTGAAGGGGGGCGGGGATGGTGCGTATCTTTCCCCCCGCCCCCGTCGCGCCCCCCGCCCTCTGGTTGGTCCCCAGCCCCGGTTTCCAGTCTCCTAGTCCTTTGGGGCCCAGCCCAGTCCCGCCTTCCAGCCCAGGCTCAGTCCTTGGGGCCAGACGGTGGCATAGGGCACCTGGTAGGGAAAGGGACTCTGGGACACCCCTCTTCGCCTGCCCGGGTGGTCGTGGCGGTTCTGCTCCGTCTTAATTAGAGGCCCCTTAGAAGCTGCAACTGAAAAATTACAGGGGCGATGCGAACTGGTGCCTCCCTGGCCCAGGTTCCGCCTCCCCTGTCCCCAAGGCAGTGAGCCCAAGATGCTGGGGTTTGCAGGGTTTTCTTAGGCTGTTATGTTTGACCATTCCCTCCTCCAGTTTATGGGACACTTTAGCCTTGAGCTGCCTGAACTTTTGCTCAAGCTCCTGGGTTCTTTCTGACCCTGTACCACCCACACAGAGAAGGGCAAAGGGCGGCCCAGTATGGGAAGGTGTTGCTCAGGAGGCCGCCCAGGGAGCTGGGTGCAGGCTCTCTCTTTTGGGCTGGTTAGGGCTCTCCCCAGCCTAGCACCTTCTTCCTCCCGCCTCCTCCCTAGAGCAGGGAGGAGGAGTGCCCCTGGAGTACCTCCCGAGGGGTGACAGCACTCCTGAGTGACCCTGAGCCCCAGCCAGCAACTTCTGGGGCGCCTGCAGGGGTGGGAAGGGAAGTACCAGAAGAAGGTAGGAGGAGCTCACCCAGGAGACCCTCTTCACTCCCAGGATCATCAGGCCCAGGATTTACCTTTGACCCCTAAATCCCAATGCGCCTCCAGTTGAGCAGCCCTCATTCCAGAACCCTCCCGCAGATTCAGCACTACCTTCTTAGAGTTTTGGTTTAAAGAAGAACGAATACAGAATCCTCTCCATCCCAGACCTCCCACTCCTGGGCTTTCTGTGTAACTTCAAGCAAAGCTCTGCCTTCCCTCGGCTCCTATTTCCCTGAGGGGAATGGGTACGGTTAAGGGAGGCATGCCTTTCCTTACAGGGTCTTACCTTATTTCCTTGGGGGCCCAGACAAGCTGAAGGAAGTTCCCCTCCTTTTCTCTGAATCCTCCCAGACCCTCCCTTAAGGCACTCATGGGGGTCAGAAGCTTCGGATGAGGTTGATACTCCATTTATTGGAGAAGACCCCAGCACCCACCCCCTGAGGTCCTGGGGGCCTCAGCATCTCTGTCATAAGCGCCAAGCCAGGGAGCAGAGTTTCCACGAGTCAAGTCTAGTGGTTGACTGAGAGAGGAGCCTGGCTGGGCCCGAGGGAGCAGGAAGCCCTCTGTCCATCTGGGCAGCCTGCATGGGTCACTGGTGCAGCCTCGGCCATGTGTCCAATGCATGCCCCTTCCCCCACCCCATGGAGTGGTGTGCTGCATCTCATCACACGCTGGTTCTGCAGGTCTGCACCCCTGTGAGGCTGCCCCGGTGGGGCATGGGTTCCGTTGGGCCCTTGTTCCCAGCATGGGTGACCCAGCGATAGCAGTCCGTAATGCGCTTGTTGGGCGCGTGGGGGCCGCAGCGGGTGCAGTACACAATGCCCAGTGCTAGTAGGACCACCAAGAAGACACATGTAGGAACTAGAAGTGCCACCAGCAGCCACCGGTCATCTCTCCGGCTTCGGCCCGCAGTACTGGCCTCCCCCAGGGCTGTTGGGACTGCGGAGGGGACTGCTGAGGACAGCCATGGGGTCAGCTTGGGATCAGGGGCATCTTCTCTTGGGACTTGTGGGGCTTTAGAATAGGCGTGTGTGGGGCTGGCGGGAGCGGCCCGGTTCGCGGAGGTCTGCGGGGGCAGGCGAGTGTGGGGGACTGGGGGCTGGGCGGCGGCAGGCGCACGGGCCTGATGGGCAGTGGGCAGAGGGAACCTGGAGGTCGTGATCGGAGGCGGCTGGGCAGGCGACGTTATGGGAAGGTGGGTGGCCTGGGATTTGAGGACTGGGACATCTGGAGTCACGGGGGGGTGATGGGCGCTGGAGGGGGTGCCCAGAAGGGTGTGGTTTGCTGGGATTCGAAGCAAAGGAGTGGTGTTCTGAGTATCAGCCACTTGGGTTTCTGGAAACATGGGGGACTGGTGAGCAGTGGACAGCTCGGGGTGTCTGGCTGAGCTCACTGGGGGCAGGTGGGCAGGGGGCCGTGCTGGGCGAGTGGCAGAGATAATGAGAGGCTTGTGGACAGAGGGCAGGTCGGGATAATTGGCTGCGATCGTGGGGAACTGGTGGTCAGGCGGCAAAGCTGGGTGCATGGCAGAGATCCTGGGGGGCTGAGGGGCAGGGGCCAAGGGTCGGCGTATGGCAGAAATAATAGTAGGTTGGCGGGCAGAAGGCAGCGTGGGGCGTGTGGCAGAGACCACCACGGGCCGGGTGACAGAGAGCACTGAGGAATGATAGGGGGCCCTGGGGGCACTGAGAGGGGGTGGCCAGGTGGGGTCCAGGTAGGGCATCTGCGGCTCTCCATCCTCTGGGAAGCTAGGTCTATAGGCCAGGCCAAAGTCAGGCGGGTGCATGGCCTTCCTCCGTGGGGTCCCAGGCATCCCTGTCCAGTCACCATTGATGTTTCCCCTTTTCTCACCTTCAGCCTCTTCATCCTCCTCATCCTCCTCATCCTCTTCAACCTCTTCATCCTCTTCATCCTCTTCATCCTCTCTATCATCCAGCAACTCGTCCTCAATGTCCTGGGAAGCCTGGGCACCGATGTCTCCCGCGGGGCTGCAGCTGATGCCATCGGCCTCCAGCTCGTGGCCCTCGCTGCAGTAGCACTCAAAACCTCCGACATAGTTGACACACATCTGCTGGCACACGCCGATGACCTGGCACTCATCTGTGTCCACGCAGCGGTGGGGGTCATCATCGGCGGGCCGGAAACCCAGGTGACAGTGGCAGCTGTAGCCCTGTGGCCCCCCGGGCTCACACTGCTGCTCACATGGGGCATGGGCACAGGGGTCCTCACAGCTGTGCCCGTCTGCTGCCAGCTGGAAGCCTTCAGCGCAGCGACAGGACGTACGACCATCCACCTCTTCCACACACTCGTGCTCACAGCCCCCGTTGTCCGGGCCGCAGCTGGTCCCGGGGCACAAGGGCCCAGCTCGTGACCAGCGCACACCGCCCCCAGGCTGCTTCACGCAGAGCAGAGAGGCTTCTCGGCCAGCCTGGCAGGGCACAGCGGCCACGGAGCCGAAGGGCAGCCACTCAAACTCGGTGGAGACCAGGTGAAAGGGCGTGGTGTAGACGGCTGGGCCCGCCTGGCCAGCCTCCTCTGGCAGCGCTGGGCAGGAGCCCTCAAAGCCGAACTGACACAGGTAGCCATCGACAGCCAGCGTGCAAGAACCCTCAAGCCAGCGATGCTCGCCGTTTGCCTCAAGGGCCACACAGCGCTGGGCCGGGCAGGGCCCGCCTGTGGCAGGCTGGGCCCAGTTGGTGAAGTCTGTGTCCTGGTCTCCCGTGGTCCATGTGAAGCCGCGCAGTGGGCGCTGCGGCTGGCATTGCCGGGCCTGCCGCTGCAGCCCGATCCACAGCAGCTGGCCAGCTGGGCCGGCACCCACCAGGCTGTCCACGCGCTGGGCCTCCTCAGGGGTTCGCGGTGTGGCCAGGTCACCCCCTAACTCTCGGCAGGCCCGCCAGGCTTCCAGGAAGGTGCAGCGCCGTGGGAAGAGCGCATAGCAGCTGTCCGGGCCACAGGCGGCGTGGGGCCCGGTGGCCCAGGGACCCTGGCCCAGTGTGGGCACCGCAGCCGCCCAGGCCAGCAGCAGGCGCAGCAGCATCGCGACGCCCCCCGACTGGTCCGGGCTCGGTCTGCAGTCGCTCTTGACAGGGGGAGGGACTGGGGCCTCCGGTGGGCGGGCCGGGGGCGGGCCGGGGGCGGGCCGCGCCGGACTCGGGCCTTGTAAGGAGTGGGCTGGGGCTGCCGCCAGCTCCGTGCTCCTGCTCCCCGGGGGGCTGCCAGAGCAGGAAGCAGTTGGGCGGGTGGCAGGGGTAGGGGGTGCCGGGGGTGCTGGGGGTGCGGGTGGAAGAGGGAGGAGTGCACCAAGGTGCTGAGAGTCACGGGCAGGAGGACCTGCCTCCCCGAAGAGTCTGGACGACCCTCAGAGCACTCCAACGCAGCCTGGGGCTCTTGGCAGTGGGGTGAGGTCACTTCCCAGAGACTGAAAGTGACCCAAGTCTGGACACACCAATCTCATCACACCCGGGAACAGTCTCACTGCCCAGCAGCTTTCCGTACATGTGGAAACATGCTCTGACTCATGCCCTTCACATCACACACGTGGGTATGGTCCTCTCCCCACCCAAGAGCTCTCTCCACTGACCTTCTGGCCCAGGCTCTGATACGCTAAGCCCTTCCCCTCACTATAGACCCATGTGGGCCTGCAGCCCCCCTTTCCACTTGTACGCGTGCTCTGGCATGTTACCCCCTAGGTGCGCATGCAAAGTGGCGTGGCATTCTACATGCACACAAAGTCCCTCACATGAGCGTGCAGGCGCCCAGTGGGAGCCACCTCGATCACAGCAGGCGTGGGCGTCTTCGTTTATAAACTAAGCTCCTGCCTCAACCTCCCTCTGCCAAGCCTCCTGGCTCCAGCCAGACTGGAGGTGTGTGGGGAAGGAGGAGGGGCCGGGGGCAGCTCTCCCCTCACCTCTGCTCAGCCTGGGGCCCTGGGAACCGGGACTTAGAGGGGGAGGAGGTCGCCCCCAAACAGGAAATGCTTCTCCGGGCTCCTGCTGCAGAGGGGCAGAGTGCAGGGGGGAGGGGGCAGGGCAGGGGATGGGCGGTGCTCGGGGTGAGCAGGGAACTGGTGAGAGGCCGTGTATGGACATGGGGCACGCGATGACACACGCGTGTGTGGCACAGGCATCGTCTGTGTGGAGCACTCCCTGCCCTCAGGGCCTGCTGCGTAGGCCTGGCCAGGGCCTCTTCCTGCCCTTCTAGGAGGCCTCTGGGGGCACGTACACGGAGCCCATCGGCCAGGAAGGCCCCTGGGGAACCGGTTGCCAGAACAACCCACGCCCACCCCCCACTGCACTCTTGGCAGAAGTTTGAGCAGGGAGCGGGGGACACAAAGGAGAGGTTCTGCCCTGGTCCAGCTTTCCGCTCTGCCACTGATCCGCTGTGTGCCTGTGGAGAAGTCGCTGACCCCCTTTGGGTCTCCATTTTTATCTACAAAATGGGGAAAATGTGTCAGGGCCTTGCTGCTCAGCAGGGCTATTGTATCACAGCACTCAGTGTTTGCAAATGTGCTTTGTCAGCTGCAAAGCATGAGGCGAGAGTTCCTTAGTCTCCCGAGCAAATCTGGGCGAGGGTGGAGCCCGGGGCTGCCATGCTGACCACCTTGCCGTGCACCGTGCCAGGCTGGCTGTGCAGACCCAGGCGGGCGCCTTGAGAGCCAGGGTTTTTGAAGTGTTTGCTACATGCCCGGAAGGTGTTCCTGTCAAGATCTCCATCCGTGAAGCACACAGAACATCTATCCCCCTTCCCGAGAGAGGAAAGTCAGGACGGGCAGGCCGGCCTTCCACTGGCGCAGGCCCAGCGCCTTGAGATCATCCTTGACTCCTCTCGCTCCCACACCCCATGTCCCATCTCAGTGGATCCTGTCAGCCTCCCCTTCAAAACAAACCCGGAATCGGACTGGTTCTCATCCCCTTCTTCGCTGCCTACCTCTGGCCCCTGCCACCACCATCTTTCATCCAGACGCTCGCAGCCACCTCTCCGCTGGTCTCTCCTTTGCCCTCTCCGCCGTGACAGAGTGATCCTTGTGAAACCTAAGTCGGGTCCAGTCAGGTCCAGTCAGGTCCAGCAATCCCCTGCTCAGAACCCTCACAGTCCCCATCCGACCCAGAGGAAAGGCCAGAGTCCTCATCACATGCTCCGGGACCATGTGATTGGCCCCCAATCTTCTCATCTCAACCTCTCCCCCTTGCTCCCTCTTCTCCAGCTGCTCTGGCCTCCTGGCTGTTCCTGAAAGTTACCGGGTTCGTCACCACCGGAGCGCCTTTGCCTTGGCCGCTCTGCAACCTGGAACGCCCTCCCTGCAGTATCTGCACGCTCTGCCTCTTCACTTCCTTCAGGTCCCAGCTCCAGCGTCAGAGTCCCTGACCACCTCCCTGGTCTTGTTCCATTTTCCTCCTTTGCGTTTGCCGCTATCTGAAATGGTATATATATTTACTTGGCGGCCTGTATCCCTCAATAACCAGAGCTTCTCACCCTCGACACTAACTACTGCTCTTCAGGATTGAGTAATTATTTCTTATATGCTCTTTGTAGGATGTTTAGTGTCATTCCTGCCTTCTACCTAGATGCCAGTAGCATCCCTCCAGTGGGACAATCAAAAATGTCTCCAGACATTGTCAACTCTCATGTCTTTTGGGGACAACATTACCCCAAGCCGAGAACTGCAGCCCTAGGTGACTGTGAGCTCCTTCAGGGCAGGGTCACTGTCTTGTTCCCTGTTGTATCTCCTGAGCCTAAACCTCCTGGTGCGTAGATGCTGCTAATGGGGTTTGTCGAATGAATGAATGAACGAATGAATGAATGAGACTCAGCTAAGGAGGAAACTGGCTCAGGGCAACCCATAGGGGAAGCTGGGATTCTGCCTGCAGCCAAAGCCCACTTGTTCCCCACACTTGCCCAGCCTTCCCCAGAAGTCAGACCATCCTGGAACTGGGAGGTCCTCGGAAGTCAGCAAGCCTTCTGCAGATGGGGAAACTGAGGCCCAGGGAGTCTCCGAGTGAGTCAATGGCAGGGCTGGGACTCAGGCCTCCTGACTCTCACTCTGGTTCTCCTCTCGCTGCAGCGTCCCGAGGAGTCATTTGAGCACATGCTGAGAGCTGGGTATGACATCGAGGAACCGAGCGGGGGAGGAAGGTATGGCAGGCACAAGGCACAGCCTAGACAAAGGGACTGAGGCAGAAGAGCTCAAGATATGTTTGGAGGACATGAAGGACTCTGCTGGGCGGGAGTGAGGGACAGCGAGGAGTAAGGGGGTGGCCAAAAGTCTGGCCTCTCTTGTGGGGGCCACGGGGAAGAGGGACAAGGGGAGATCCCTGTGGCTGGCGTGGTGGGCGGAGAGGGGGCCGGAGGCCAGGGACCAGTTAGGAGGTTGTTGCAATAGCCTGAGAGGAGGGAGGGAGCTGGCTGGAGAGCTGGGCAGCAGGGCGGGCCAGGCTGGGGGAGGCAGCCTCTGGAGGCTCCTCAGGGGCTGGCCCGAGCCTGGTCCAAGGGTGTGGCGGGCCCAGTCATGGTTCGGGCAATGGCCAGTGCCGGGGCGTCTGAGGGGAGGCTGCAGGCTGTCTGGCTAGTGCGTGGGTCAGATCGGAGGTCAGGACTCCAGCCTCCTGTCGGGGTGAGGGGTTGGGGGGTAGGCAAGGGAAGCAAGGGAGGAGGAGGATGAAAGGTCAAATTCCAGATGGTCTGGCTGGGCCTACTTGCAAGTGGAAGGAAGCTTGAGTCAAGAGCGGGGAGCAGCGGTGAGAAGGAGTGGGGTACACCTAACCCCAACAAGACTGAGGGTTTGGTAGAGGGAGCATGAGACCTGCAGACATATCTGGGTGCCCAGTGGGGGTGGGTGCCTGGCACTCACCTGCCCCATCCAGGTGGGGAGAGATGAGGCTGAGGCCACCCGGGAACTTCTCGCCCTGGTCAGGATGGAGGGGGCGGGGGCACAGCATGAGAGATCTGGTGGGGAGAGGGTAGGCAGGGGCTGGTTGTGGTCCTCCTCTTCCTGTTGGTCCTGTTCAGCCTGACTCATTTTGGTTCCCCCAATTACACAGAGAAGATGCTAATTGATGCAATAAATGCTTGGAGGATGGGTAGGTGGATATATGGATGGATGGATGGATGGATGGATGGATGGATGGATGGATGGAAGGGTGGTTAGGCAAGAGTAGGAATGAGTAATGGATGAGTGGGTGGTAGAGAGAAGGACTGACGGACAGATGCAGGAAAGAGTAAGTGGATGGATGGATAGATGCTAAGCGGACGGGTGTGTGGATGAGAAGGTGCTTAGATGCACGGTTGTATACAGGGACTCAGGTAGAAGTGCTCATTCATAACTAGCCGCCGCCACAGTGGACGGCAATCTCAGAATGTAACTCTGTGGATCTGTAGGAGTGAAGCCCAGGTGGACGGGACAGCTCGGCCACCACGGCAGAGGCCATATGTGATGCTTACCGCACAGTCTGATTTCTCTGTTGGGGCTTGAGGCCAATGCGTCTCCCTGGCTTGGGCGGGGACACCTCAGGATATCAGGCTCAGCCCACATAGAGGGTCAAGAGTCTGGGGTTCCCTGAACTGATCTCAGCCCTTGTGGGGAGGCCTCACCCCAGGGGAGCATGGAAACAGAAGCCCACTTCCCCAGAAGGAGCCTTGTCTTCCAGCTACTGGGACAAGCCAGATGGTGGTTTTGGATGCAGTGTTTGGGCCCGTGGGGGTGAGGGTGCAGGCAGCTTGCAGAGGGGCCTGTTTGAAGAGGGCCCAGTGGAACAACCAGGATGGGGGGGCCGAGTGTGATTAGGGGCGCCCCCTGGGCGGGCGTCCTGGAGAGCCTTGGCTCGCCCCGCTGCTGAGCCAGCACATTGCTTTGTGTACAAATCACCTCCTTTCCTCCTTTTTCTTTTATCCCCATCCCCCCACCTCCCCTCATTTCTAAATTCTTCCCAAACCACCCAGCCTTCAGGCTGTCAGGAGGACCTACGGGTGGGGTGGGCGGGAGGCCCCTGTTGGGTGGGAGCCACCGGAGAGGCGAAGGGAGAGGTCCCAGGGCGGGAGTGGGGAGGGACGGTGTCTGGGAGGGAGTGACTTCAGC